TTTTATGCAATAAAAGTATCATATTGGGAATCAGGATGAAAAGCTGAACTGATCAATGTATATTTCTATCATATCCGACTACTTAACTTTTTGTCGAAGTTTCATGTTGAAAAATTATCGAGATTTTTACGAAAAAAAAAAAGTTTTTTAGTTACTGCCCAGGAAGCTACTTCATAAGTACAAATTTCTAAGTTCTATCAAACGATTGGATCAGGAAAATTATAATTTTTTTTATTGCAATAAAAACTACTATTCTCAAGCGTAGTTTTCGATGAAAACGACGAACTTTGTCCCTCTGCTTCCCTAGAGAAGAGTACGTTGTTTTTTTCTTGAAAAATAAGTATGAATTTCCATAGAATTAAACACATGCTAGCACGAATATGAATAAATAATAACACAGTATTCACAGAAAAATGCTTGAAAAAAGATGAAATCGCCTAGAGAAGAAAACATCGAACACAAATAAACTTTTTTTTAAAGAGAGCTAGAATTCGAGCTCAAAAAATAGAACTATAACAACAACAACAACAAAAAGGGCGTATTTGCACAAAAAATCCATATATACAAAAGAAATCAAAAACGTTTAAGAAAAATGGATAATATTATCTTACGAACCATTTCTTCATAAGAAAGAGACAATAATAAAATCGAAAAGTACATGCACGTTTGACACTGAAAAACAAATAAAAAGAATATCGTTATTAGTAAAGTCCCCTCCTCACATTAGAAACCCACCCCGCATTAGAAGCCCAGTCTGGCAAGAAATTTTTGGAAAATTGCCCCTGCTCCCATAGGGTACTTTTTGAGAAAATTGTGCCTAGTAGAAGTCCACTGGGCTTCTAATGTGGACGGGGGTTTAGATAGTAGGAAAAAAGAAAGAGGCTAAAAACTACGGATATTCATTTTAAGAGTCAATAAGATTGATTAAGACTCTAATTGGTAAATAAAGTGACAAAAAAGAATTTTTCTATCACTGTCGAATGTGAGAAACAGAGAGATGCTTGATTATAGCAAAATATCTTGCTCTAGTGGAGTATACATGCTAAATGCACAAAACAGATTCGAGAAAGTCTATTTCTGCTGTTCTTGTAATTTTTGTGTCAATGATTTATCATATGCTTGTTGTTCATCTTTTTTATAATCAAATATAAATATTCTTGCTTGATGATCTTTTAAACTGTCTACTTTTAATATATTATTTTCAACATTATATTCTTGATTTTCATTCAGCCAATCGTACCATTTTCCATTTTTTGGTATATTTGGAATTTCTAATGATGTTTCATTATTAATTGGATAAGTTTTTGATGACCAATTACATAGAACAATCAAATGTTCACCTTGCTTAATTTCATGACCATTCCATCGATAATATAACATCAGACCATCTTCTGAATTTTCGTATAGAAATTCAACATTTTCTGTATACAATGATAAATTTGATTTTCTTAAATGAATTAAATCTTTATAAAATTGTAAATGTTGTTTATTGAGCCAATTTGAATTATCATTACGATCATCAATTAGTGACCAATCAATTTTTGCTACGCCTGGTGTTTTCTCTTTGTATTCGCCAAGTTCTTCACCCTAGAAAAGAAAAGGCATTGAAAATGGAGCCATTTCTGCTAGGTTTTCAAAAGATAAAGTAGAAAGAGATGAGATCCATTTCTTTTTTTTTTGTGGCAATTCTTTTTCATAGAAAGTTTTGATAAAAAGGAAGTCATGAGTTCTTTGTGAATCGAGTACTTCTCGGCTTACATAGGGCATTCTAGCAAAAGTATGTGGAATACAATGAGTGTAGATTATGAATAAAACAAAAACAATTGTAAGTTACTTCTTTCGGGAGTTAAGATGCACGAAATTCAAGGTTCGAGTGAAGTTTATTTTCGATTTTTATTACTACCGCTGAGAAAACATGTGACAAGTTTGCAAAATTGGGTGCCATCTTTGAGTCATGCACATTGCAAAGTCTTTTGTGAATAGACGTTTGGTTCTAAAAATGTTTCAACACCATTGCCTTATTCAGTTTTAGATGCTGAACCCAAAAGGCTTTGTTCCAGTATTGAAATCCTAACGCAAAAGAACTACGGCCATTTCTTCGAAAACTTACGTTTTTCCGTGTTTCGAGACCCTTCTAGTATTTTGAGTTTTTCGACCGGAGAAAAGTGTCGGAAAGAATCGAGGCACATATAGTCGTGATCAGCTGGGAGTCTTCGAACCGACGGTATAGATGCTCGAAAATAAATTTCACTCGAACTTCGAATTATGTGCATCTTATAAATACTGCAGTTTACAGTGACACGGTTTTGAAAAAATAACGAGAAAGAAAAAAAAGTGATTTTCTCCATTCCGAAGCAAAATTGACTATGGGAGAAAATCTATCTACAAAAAATAGTTGCAGCGTCCGTTGATAGCCATATTAGCTAAGTTAAAATATACCTTCATCTACCCATAAGTCCATGCAAACGATGTTGTTTAACTGATGGTTAACGGATCCTAAACGTCACGTTAACGGACCGTTTTTATCTTGTTTAACTCCCGTTTTTAGGCCGTTTTACGATTAAAAAATGATGCGTTTACGGTCACTTTTTACAGATTATTTTTTCATCGTTAATGCAATGTTATATAAATGTTGCATTTAAAATTTTTATTTTTTACTAGCTATCTCAAATTGTTTGTGACATATTTTGGTCCTTAGCGCCATTTCTGGTACCAATCCTAGGATCACAATACCCTTTTAATGTTAGGCCCAAGACAAATGGTCACTTATACAGCACAGACTATGCATGGTCACAACACTGAATGACCCGTTTTTAGATCACTCATTGACGCTCTCAAAACTGCCTGTTTACAGTGATGTTAATGGACCGTTCTTTGGTCATTTCGTACACCGTCAACGCGCCTTTTTATAGTTGACCGTTCATCAACGGATCGTCACAGCTGGCCTGGGTAGCTACATGTTAATTGAAATCGCGTTCTAGCTAAAACAGTCGCTGCATTGCACAATTAAACGGCTGCAGATTGCCAGTTGAAGCCAGATAGAATTTTCGTGTATATAGATGCAGCTAGTTCAAACTAAATGCAAGTGCTCGGTTCATAATTATTCTTCATGCTTGAATAATCACGAAACCTGTGTGAATTAATTTATTATCCTAATTCACGCAGAGTATGGAGTGGATTTAGTCAACTGTAACGATTCTAGAATCTTTTATACCGTGCATAGGCATAACACTAGCTGTTGAAACTTAGAAAGTGGTTCTTTCCATGTGCGAAGGAGCCCATAGTATGAAAAATTCGAGAGGTTACAAACATAAAACAGGTTTTTGTCTGAAATTCTTATTAGAGCTTTATCACATTCCTAGGCGTAACGGAGAAATAAAGAAGATGCCGCGAAGTTTCTGTAGTCAATTGTCTGATTGTAACCAACCTATGTCTAGGTATAGCTATGATCCGAAATTGAAAATATTTTGACAAGTAAAAATAAATGCTCAAGACAACTACGCAAGGCATGCCCTTTTTGAAAAAACTTTTTATCGCTGTCTAATGTAATCCTAATTTAAGATTACAGCACAATTTTTTCGTGTGGATCAAATATACATCATTCGATGCAGAATTTAATGCTAATCACAAATATCTACTTTTTAGTCTTCTCAGCGCACGTTTTTCGTGAAAAAGATTAGAAAAACTGAAATTCACCGTTTTTTCTTCTTATTCTTTTTTTTTTCGAAACTGTCTGATTTTTGAAAATACCCTGATACCTCATTTCGGTCCGGTGGAACCTTGAAAAGTGTTTTTCTTGTTCAGCATCGAAAACTGCATACAGAAAACTGTATTTCAAGGTTCCAGTACAAATAGAAGTATTCCGGACCTGCGCAAAGACGTCAATTTTCCTGACTCCCACTCGCAAACCTATCTCCTTTTTTCCGTTGCTGAAAAGTTTATGTTTTCTAAAGCAGAGCAGAAAAAAGTGAAAATTCTGATCTTAATTCTCACTTTTCTCCATCAGAACTCAACTTTTATGCAACAGAAATATCATATTCGAAATCAGGATCAAAATCTGAGTCGACTGATGCGTATTTCTACTCTACCCGACTACTTCAGTTTTTTCTCGAATTTTAAAAACTATCAAGATTTTCACCAGAAAATGACAATCAACTAAAAATTTCGAAATATACAAAGCGTTAAACTCTGCGTCGAACGACGTATATTTGAGTCACAAGGAAAAATAATGCTATAACCTTGGATTTGGAGCGACCTTACTTTACTGAAAAGTAACACTAATTCCTATTACTACTATCCATTTCAAAAAAGAAGAAGCACGGCCATTTCTTTGATAACTTTTTCTAAGAAGCAGCTAAAAAGGGTGCGGTTTTCAGTATCGGA